CCTTTCCTTCCTTTCACTAGGTTTCATGGTAAAGGAGGTGTGCTGGTTTTGGTGTTTTGGTTTTTTTTGTTTGTTTTTTTTTTTTCTTCTTTCTTTTTTCTTTCCTTGGGCTCGCCTGTCTGAGGCCAGGGAGCCACAAAGGAGGTATGAAAAGGGGTTTTCCAGCCTCATGGTTATGGCATTTGCTCCAGCTGCCAGAGAACCCCTGGGGAAGGGGGAGAGCTTCATCTCTGCGCTCTCTCTTTATCATTCAATTAAACACAGGAGCTGCTCTGCTGAGCCCAGGACAGGTCTAGGCATTGGTAAAAGCACAACTCCGTGCACGCAGGGCGCTCACAGATATGACTCCAAGGCAAGCGGGCAGCTGTAGACAAGCTTAAAATAGCTTTTGACTGTGGCCGCCAAGAATTAAGACTACGCTCAATATAGGAGAGAATTTATCGTCACGGGATCTGGCTGCGGGTCTGCTTTCTCCCAGCAGTGGGGCCTCCTGGCTCCGCAGGGAGCTCTGCAGGGTAATTTTAACCTGTTGGAGATGGGGCTGCGCCCTGTGGGTTCACCACCCTTGCTTGGAGCAAGGAGACCCCCTCCAGGAGGGATGGTGCCACCATCACCCTCAGCCCCTGGGGTTGGCATGGAAGGTGGGAGGGATGTGCAGGGCTCAGCCCCTCTGCCTGATGCACACAGGGCATGCTGAAAGCAGAAACCTCTTCAGCTCCTTCCCCTCCTCTATGCCCTTCACGCGGAGAAGGCCAGAGCAGGACTCAAGTTGTGGTGCTCCCCCAGGCGCTCAAAGTGCCGGGGGAAGACGATGCCGGCATCAGGCAGGGCTGAAACACCAGCCCTTTAGTTTTTCTTTTAACAAAACACAAGACAAATGTGGAGGTTGTAAACGCCATCCAAGAACATAAGCCAAACTAAGCATGCTGCAGGCAGCCAGGAGGGGGGTTGGCCAGATGGCCCTGGCGCTCCTCGGCCTGGGGAAGGTCCCTCTGCAGTCTTCCTGCAGTCCCCTGCCATGGCTCCCCCCACCGCTCGATGGGCACAAAGCAGGGTTTCCGTGCCCGATGCAGGCAGGACTCCCCATCCCGTTCTGGCACGGTCCTCTGCAGCCAGGCCTGGGGCAGCTGAGCCACACCAGCAAGGAGAAGGGAGGAGGGAAAGGGATTCCTTCCAAAAGAAAGGAGGTCAGCCCGCGCCAGCCATCTGCAACTGGGGACTGGGAGGTGACAGAGGCAGCCCTGAGCACCGCGCAGGGTGGGGGAGGCCCTACTGGCCCCTGAGGTGAAGCTGCACACTGGCACCTGCAACCCCTGGGGAAGGAGGTCTCCCCTCTGCCCCATCTCCCACCCAGCAGACCACCGCAGCACGCAGAGAATAGTGCAGAGCATCAGGGCAGCAGCTCCCCACTCGCTGCCAAAAGTCACACTATATACACAGGTGCAGCCATGGGTGAGCAGCCCTGGCACCGCGTTGTGGTCTCAGAGGACATCTCTGGAGCGAGGAAGGCAGGAGTGCCTCTGGCACCCCGTCAAATAGCAGTCCACAGAGGACCTTGTCTCCCAGGTCCAGCTACCGAGCCACCGACAACTCGAGGCCCGCATTTCAAACAGCTCTGCTCATCTTATTCTAGCTCATCCTACTATGCGCGCTATTCTCCTACTAAACAAAGCTCTAGCCCTCTCCGCATCTAAGCCACTTACCCAAGCAGCACCATTAACATTCTCTGGTTAAGTAGAAATCGCATGGAAAAAGTAATTTTTTTCCTTAGTTACTACAAAAAAACCCAAATCCTGAAGACCTCAACTGGAAAACAACACCCCCTCCCCCCCACCTTAAAAAAAAAAACAAAAACAAAACAAATAAACACAAACAAACACACACCCCAGAACCAACCCAAAAGGGAAAGCAGGCAACAGGAGTTTTCAATAGCATCGTCAAGCTTAACAGTGGGGAGCTGACGGCATCACCAAGCCCCAACACAGCCGCCGGCAGCAGGAGGGCTTGAGCGGACGGACAGCAGCACTGGGGCCGGCTCTGGCACCAGTGCATGCTGAATTTTTTCCCCTCCTGCTGCCCCAAACCGTTAGTTTTATGTTAATACTTCATTAATACTGTCTTATTTCCCCTCTGCCAGCCCAGCATTAGAGGCCTAGAGACCTTTACCTAAACCAAATGACCCCGCGTGGAGGGGAGAGACTCAGTGGCCGTGACCAGTGGGCTCCTACCTACTCTGGCAGCACCAAGCCAGTCACCGCGGTCCCGTACACCGTATCACGCCCAAGCCTGCGTGAAGCACATCGCAAAATTACGTACCCCTTTCCCAAGCCCCGGTAACACTAGGCGTGCCGTCAGGAAGAAACAAGGCAACGGGGCCAAGGGGCTGCGCAGACCCAATAAAAAAATTAGCTTAAAAAGTTACAAAATGTCCGATACGCACTGAAAACAAGCCAGGCTGCGCTAGGGACCCACGTGGGATGCTCTTGCCTCACCACCCCGGTCCTTGGAAGAGCGAAAGCCTCACCCCTTAAACACCAGCTCTTCTCCCTCAAGGGGCGCAGCTCCCTGGGGCGGCTGCTGGCGCATCCCAGGATTTCTATGTCCAAAGCAGTGAACCAGACGAATCCCCTCCAGCTGTTGGCCCAGCAGCATCCTCATCCCACATGGGAGCCGGGGGTCAGTGCGCCGGCTCCCCGTGCACGCGGAAGCGGTAGATGCAGGTGTATTCAGGGTGGCCCCAATTGCTCAGTATCCGGAGCTCCACCAGCTGGTATGTGCCCATAGCATCACCCTTAGACAGAGGGGAAAAAAAAAAAAAAAAAAGGAAAAAGCTGAGCACTTGAGAGTTCTCAAGGGATCAGAGACCCCCAGGAGCCCCACTTTCTTCTCAGGGCCAGGTGCTCCAAGGGCAAAGCGCTTACCTCCAAGTAGAAGGTCTGGATGGGGTCACCGTCATGGTTGTACGTGAACTGCCCCAGGAGAACACCCTCCTCCTCTCTCTCCTCCTTCAAGCCCTATGGAGGGGCAGGGAGGCAGAAAGGGAGAACCAGGGGTGATCAGAGAGGGAGACCGGAGGCGATGAGAGCACCCCGGGCAGAAGATGGAGACAGAGACGCAAGCGTGCTTGGCCCCCACTCCTGCTCTTCCATGCCAAAACAGACAAACGGGGACAGGGGCCAGTGGGGAAGGATGGGTGGGAAGACCAAGAGTTACACCTACTCAATCCCCCCTCTGCCAGTGTCCCCCAAAACCTTTCCAAAGCCTGGTACTCCTCCTCTCCACTCCACTCCCAGTACTGCTTCTTCCTCCTCTTCAGGATAACACCCATCCCCCAGAGTACCCCCCAGCCAGATACAGGACTTGTCAGCCCTCCCCTCCTGCGCCCTCCACCATGGCATCCTCCCACTGTGTCCCCCCGCTCCCCCCCTTGGGTCCAGGCGACGGCACTCACATAGACAGCGAAGTCCTTGGGGGCGCTGGGGATAGTGCCCTGGGGCGAGAGGGCTTTCGGGATGTGCTCCAGCGTCACAGCCGTGGGGCAGATGATGGTGGACAGGCGGATGATGGCAAAGCCCAGGGACCCACGAAACGCCCAGCAGTTCCCAGGGTTGACGTCTGGCTACAAGCACAGGAACAAGACACCAGCAGTGTTATCACCATCAGTGCTGTTTTTCTTCCCCCCTCTCCCCGCCAAAAAAAATAATCAACCTGGCTGCTTGCTTGGAGCAACATTGAGAACCCAATAAAACCCACCAAGCCCACGCCAAGAACCAGCCTGGCCGGTCCTCCCCCTCAGTGGGGTCTCGTCCTGAAGGTGCCTACCTGCAGGATGACACGGGGGGACTGCGAGTGGTACCACAGGGGGATGCCGAACAAACTCAGTGCCTTCCATGTCCTGTAGGTCTCAGAGCAGCGGGTGTTGATGACGCTGGCCCCTGGCACACAGAGAGGACAGCAGCAGGTGAGCTTGCATGCCACCATCCTGTGGGTCCCCTCCCCAGGATGGCTGGCTCGTCCCAGGTGGGCAAGAGCCCCACCACCACCACCTACCTGCTGACTCCAAGGCGTAGTCAACCATCCCCACGCGGTCCTCGCTGTAGCGCTTCAGGGCCTGGCCCACGATGAGGTGCACTTGCTGCAGCGGGAGCAGAGGGCACGAGAGAGGTGAAGGGCTGGGGCGGGCATCCTGCCCCCCACCCTCCTCCACCCTCACAGGGACGGAGAGGGCACAAGGACCTTCCCACAAAACAGCCGGGGTATGAATCGCCATGGCAAAAAACAAGATGACACACATTTGGCTGGGGAGCCTCGTTAGAGGTTGCTAAAAATACCCAAGATGAGGAGCTGTGCAGTGAAGGGGCAGTGCCCAGGCAGGCTGGGCTCAACCACCCCCATCCCGAAAGAGGGGCTGGCCCCAGAGGAGGAGGGGTATCCCCCCAGTGGGTACCAGACAACCTGACAGCCCACCCAGTCCTCTCCAGCATCATTTGCTGGTCCCTCCTGCTCCACCTCGCAGGATCGATGGGAGCTGCCCCCCATCTGGAAAAGGGGGAACCAGCCAGAGCATCCTTCTGGAGCCAAAGGCAGCCCCAGGAGCTGGGACCCGGCAGCACCACTGTGTGGGTCTAAAGTTTATGGTGTGCACGAAGCTTGCGCAGGCTGCCGAGACTGCTAATCCCAGCTTGATCCCTCCCCTCCACTAGCTCCACAGGGAATTGCCAACAACTCTTTCCAAAGCAAGCGGGCTCATTTTTTCCCTGTGGTGTCATTCTGCCGAAATGCTTTGCCCCAGATGACTCTGCGGCGCTGCTGAAGGAAGGATGTAAGCGAGATGCTCAACCCATGGGAAACCTTGCCGGTGTCCGCCCTGCCTTCCAGGCGAGAGCTGCACAAGCAGAAACTTGGATTTTAAGCCAGCAAGAGCCTTGCAGGGTGTGAATTTCACCACCTATGACCCCCTCCGGCACAGGGAGCAGGGACAGCCCAGGGGAGGCTCGAAGCAGAGAAGGGATAGAGGAGCTTCAGGTGCTCCTCCCAGGTGGACTGTGAGCCCAGGATCGATGTCCCAGCTGTAAGGACTGTCCCCACGGCTCTGCCATCTTCCAGCCCTCCCTGCACACACGCGATGAGGTACAGCCCCCATCCCACACCTGTGGTCACCATCATGACCCTGGGGTTCAGGCCAGCACTCACCTCCTCCGTCACCCCCATGGTCCCCCCTTGCTGCAGGGCCACTCCAATACCGGCCCGAGTATCCCGTGCCAACAGCCTCTGGTCCTCCAAGACTTTGGCCAGAATCTTGTGCTCCAGGGCCTGGAGCTCCGCTTGCAAGTCTTCCTGCTGGAGGACAAGGCCAGTGGCGCCGTCTCGCTGGGACTGCGACAGGAACCGACTGACCCATGCCGGGAACTGCGCTTCCACCTGAAACGGTGGGAACAGAGCTTAGCTCCGGGTCAGGGATACTCATGCCTCTCTCCGCTGAACAGTGTGGGGGACCAGGGACTCACATCAGCCCGCACCGCCTTCAGCTGCTCCAGCATCCCTTCCACATGCTTCCCCATCACCTCCTGGTCCGACTTGAGGCCCGCCAGCTCCCTCCTCAGCGCTGCCACCTCCTGCTCCAGCTTGTCCACCTCCTGCTGGAAGCTGCCTCGCAGGCCCTCCTGCACCGAGCTGTGCCGAGAGAGAGAGGTAACAAAATTGTGCGCCGACAGTCCCAGCTCCCCTCTGCAAACTGGAGGAGGAGGTTCATCCCCCATTGCCTGGGCTCAGCACCTTTTCCAGCCCCAAATAGTTTTGATTCTTGTAGCCATGACCTCTTCTACTGCATCCTGTGGGAAAGCATCCCCAACTCACCCCTCAGCCAAAAGCGACATGTTCCCCACGGCAATACAAAATGATAGTGGTGGAGGTAATTTGCTGCAATCACCCTTTTGAGCACTGCTGCCAGCCAGGGCATGCTCTTGTGGACATACCCATGGATATCCATCCCTCCTTTCCACCCAAAATTGTACCTCTCAACCTCTCCTTTGACTGGAGCAAACCAAGACCTGGAAACCCCTTCCCGAGCCTTGCTGTGGGGATTTCACCCCGCTACCTGTCTGCCCCTAGAGTGGTGGCTCT